AATTTATTATATATTTTAATATGTAAAATCATACATATGTTATCTAATAAATATTTGTCTCAAGATTATAATTCTTCCAAATTTTTATAACTATCGTATCTTTTTATTGCCAAAATTAAAAACAACGACATTGTTATTATATATTTGCAAGCACAAAATATAAATTTTACGAATATTAATTTAAAAATCTTCAGATCTATATGTATATTTTGTATGGATTAAATCATTTTTGTTGTCCTTTTCTTTACTTTGCCAATTTTATTTCTTTAAGAAACTCTTGTTCTCTTTACTATTTGCATTTTTTAAAGTAGGTTTACTAAAAGTACAATGTACCAACGAATAATGGTAACAATTCCTACAAAGATAACAAAGCATAATGTTTATTAATAAAATAATTTTGTGCCGCGCGCATATCGCACACAAGTGTTAAAATAAAATTACAATAATATTAAAATAAAATTAATATAATATTGAGTTGTCTGGAAAGTTGATGCCGACTATATAACCTATATAATTTAATAAATGTATACTAAAATTTAAATCTTCTGTGTTTCAATTTTCCTTCGAAGAATCGGCACGAATTTTCCGGACAATCCAATATTTATTGTAGCATCATTTACCCATTAAGCAAAGTAAGTCATATATCATGATTCTATTGAAATTACTGCTTTCTAATTGTTGTTTATAAAGATGCAATAACTCTATCTTTAGTTTTCTTTCATTTTCAATGTTTGATATTAAATCAAATTTTATTCTATGTATATCACTCTCTATTGTTACCAATTTCGCTTCAAATTTATGTTTCCAATCGAGCATCTTGGAAATAACGTTATTTAATTCTTCTTGGCAAGATTTTTGTTTCTCACATTTATCAGCAACTTTTACATCAGAAGCTTTGCAACTTTGTAATTGTTCCTTTATATTTATGAATAATATGAATAGCAGCACAATGTACATTCCTGTATACATTCTAATTATGGAAGATTTGTAAAATAATATAATAAATAATATTAGTTAGGAATTTATAATATTAGTTAGGAAAAACATATAATTTAAATATATTTAGTTTAAATTTAATTTGCATTAGAACAAATATTAATTTTTATAAAATATAATCTTATTGAAGCTTTAAAATTTTAATTAGCATTTTCAAACATACTAACAAAAATTAGATAAATTAGCATTTAATTTTTATATTTGAAACAAAAAGTTAAAAATTCTTTTAATTCTTGTTTTAAATTTAATACGCGATATTGTGCTATACTAACAAGATAAGTAGAAATTAATTCTTAATAAATCATTAATTAAGAATTAGTTATCGATAAAAAATAATAAAGAAATGTCTAACTTATGTGTATTTTAAATTCGAAATAATTCAAATTTATACAATGTAATATTTAAATGATAATATAATACTTAAAAATAGTAATATAATACTTAAAAACACTAAAACATTCATTCGTCATTACTTTAAACGGTTTAAAATTTTAATTTTAATTTTAAATACACAATGCGATTGTTTTTTTTTGTTATTTCTTAAATAAAAAATAAAAACAAAAAGTAAAATAATTAATCTTTTCACGTATTTGATTATATGTCATCAATTATATTTACTACTGGCTTTATAATATTATATGCACGGAACTTAATAGTTCTTTTACCTGAGAATCATGATGTTAAAAATAAGCTTCTAACTGAAAAATGGCAATATTAGTTTTTCCTATGTACTAGAAACCAAAAATTAATGAAAAGTTTAATAAGATATTTTGGAAGATTGTGAATAGATACTCTTCATTTTTGTAACATATATTGTATATTAATTTTGCGACAGGAAACTGAGCAGCAAAGACAAAACATATCTACAGAAGCAAAATCGAAAAATATCAGTTATACCTTTCTTGCGAGGTCATATAACCTAATGTATACAAACTTTTTATATTAAATAGAGAGTGGGGTACATATTGAAGTGCCTTCAATTTAGCCAATCGAGTATCTGTAATAACTTGTAAAATATAACAAAAGGAAAGAAAATAATTGCAGTGCAACATATATTTAACATAAATTTACATAGGAAAATTATGTTAACACGTTTGGCTGACATAATTATAAATAATTGTAGACATTTTGGAAAATTTAAAATTTGTGGAGATATAGATTTAGATATAGATATAGATATAAATATCTTGAAAAATATAATTTGCAATTAGACATTTACAAAGTATATACTCAGTATATAAACAATTACAAAACAAATCAAATGTATACAAATTTTTAATATTAAATAAAATCTGGTACCTAATCTAATCTAACGATCTCATTTAATCTCCCTAGAAAAGACTATCTGATGATGAAGATATTTTATTTATCTGAAGGAGACATTTTATTATTTCGACCTTTTATTTGACAAAATTCACGAAAAGATATTCGTTTACCATCTCGACCACCAGTTTCAAATTCGATGTCTGTTTCATCATTCATATCATATATATCATGTCTTTGTTTCGATGTGGATTGGAAAGCTTTTTTGATTTTCATTCTTTTAAAGGCTTCTCTAACATTTCTCTTCTGGTTTTTCATATTTCTTTTGCTAATCTTCATCTTGCGTTTGTCATTTTTGAATTCTTCTTCAGAAGAATTGCCTCTGTAAGTTTTCCATTTTTTATCATTTTTATTTCGATATTGAGAAACACATATTCCTGGAGGAATCGAAGTACTTTCTGTCTTCCTAGAAGCATTAGGAAGTCTTGGTTTAAGCCAACTCATAAGCTTGATTGGTGATAGTTCAAAAGATAATGTGAAATGCGGGGAAGTCTTCTTGGAATTCCTGGAATATGTTTTGACAGGCTGATCCCGACGAAAGTTTGTTGTCTCAAATTGTAAATCGGGAAAGATAACATTTTCAGATATTTGTTTAGATCTTATGTCTAGCTTATATAACGAAATGTGTGCTTTTTCATTGCCTTCATAATCTAAAACAGTAATTTTTTTAATACTTATATACATTTTAAGCAGAAAGAATATTTCATAAAAAAGCAATTAATTCCAAAAGTATTGAAAGCAAAAGTATTGAAAAATTAATTGATATAGAATAGGCCATTTTAATGTTCTCATTTTAATGTTCAATATTATGTAAAAAATCATATATAATTTTTAAAAAATGGAGATATTTCCATGAAACTTTGAAAAATCGATTTTAAAAAACTGATGTTATTATTATGAGTGTCCTTCAGATAATACATTTTAAGTCTGAAACATTTTTCTGAAAGGCATAAAAAATATTTAAGTAGGAACATTAAAATGGTCCATCCTATAGATGTAGATAGATGTGCACAAATAGAGATATATATATAT